ATACACTCCCTGCTTAATTACTGCTTGTGAATTGCGTAAAACTTTATGCTGGCTTCTTGATTGTATTTTGAGTTATTACATTAAACCCATACTTCTTTCACATAAACTCGGTTTGACTCTCAAGTCTTGTTAAGGTGCAACACTTACAGGCAATATCTGAGAAGTATATATGTAAATGATCGCTCTCGTGTGGCAGTGCATGGCGCTTATACGTTTCTTGAGAAATGGAAGTAAAGTGAAGGGGAAGATAATGCATTATTTCCCAAGACAATTCCCCAAATGCCTCAACTCCAGTCGGCTGTCATACATTCGATGGTATATACTTTTTTCTCTATGGAAACCGATATGCGAACATGGTGGCCCGAGAGTTCGAACTTTACCAATGATAATGCCCGTCGGGCGCCGATCGGCGTGAGGGACGCACGGGCGATGAGAGGAGAGAGCCACCTCAGTCGTCTTCACTGCCTCGTTTGCCTCTCCAGAGCACCAATCAGTTGACTGGGCGGAACAACCATCTGGTGCCGGGATTGGACTTATTGACTGACAGAGCTGCAGGTGTCAGGTTGGGTGTCCTAAACAGCAGGTTGCGCCTGATAGCATGTTCCCCATTGAAGTGAGAGGTGCCTATTCGTCCCTAAGTCAAATGATATGGTTTGGATTCGTGTATATTATGTGTGCTGGTGGGAGAGATGTTCGGTGGTGGGGTTGGGTCTTCTGCAGACATTCATGAAGAGGTATATGGTCAAAAGTGTACATGTGGTGACTGAATGTACGTGGACAGAGCGGGTTTCTGAGGCGAGAGTGACGGGCGTATGTTGAAGCTCATGGCACTGGTTCGACAGTCTCTGTGCGATAAATTCTTAAGAGACTTAACTGGCCGAAAGAATGCCAGAACCGGGTGCCGAAATACGCCGCACTTTCGGTGGGAAATTGTCCATTGTCAACGCCTGACTATATTGTATGTTGGGGAGACGGAAAATTGCTGTTTTCGAGGGGTCGCCAACTGTTGAAAAGTGTAATGGTCGACAAGACAAAGGTCCCCAAATCGGAAGTCAGGGCAGAGGAATTGGTTTGGACAACCTCTACCGCTTAGGAAGTGCGTAGACAAGGCTCTGCAGGCAGTCGCCGCAAGCGGTCTCTCCTGGCAAGTTGCCTGTGCCCGCCGTCGAGGTGATTGGGCCCCGTCGCGGGTGAGTGCCTTTCGCTCCGTCTCAGTGTCCGCATTTGCGTAGAAAAACACGCCTTAACATTACGTGAGTGTTTTAGATTCCCGAGCGATTTCAGACTTCCGTGTCGACTGTCTTGTTCCGCAACCTCAAATTTAGTATTTACGGAAGAATGATGAAGTGAAAATGATCCAGTTTCTTGACTGAGTTGGCGTAAACGGCCCCGCTATCTGCTTCGTAGGGTTGTGTTGCCAGGAGCACTGCCATGTAAATTTAAAGCTCCGTGCTGAGTCTAACACTGAGGCGGAGATACGCAGTGGCCTATAACTGGGCAGACTGCATGTATTCGTAGAGTTTCCCCCCACCATGTCAGAGCTGGTTGTTTGGCGGGCGCAGGAGCCGACGACGGTGGCAAATTTGCTTCCTAGCAGAGACGAGTCTAGGCTCCTGATGTGATCATGAACTTCCTGCGGTAAACAAAGTAGTTGCTACATGATGTCGTTAAGAGGAAAAGTGCGACACCAGTATCGCTTCGCTCCACACTTGTGCAGTCGCTCCAAAGGAATTTTTGGCTGTCACCCACGTCCTCCAGCTGACTCTGTTCAGAGAACCGAGTCAGGCTGAGTGGAGGGATGTCTAACTTGAACCGCATTACTTCTCGAACGGCCGGCGCCGCCCTCCGCTCCGGTTGGCTGTTTTTCCTGCTGTCTAAAGTGGAACTAACGTTCCAGGCTGCCAGACTGGGCAGTCGGTCTAGCTGCCTGTGGGGTGGGTAGAGTGTGATGTGGATAAAGGTTGTTGTGTTTTGTGTGCGAATATTTCACATGATGGTTATGCTCAGCCACAAATAGCGTAATTTCTCAACGTCTTTTTCGAACACCCTTTGTAGCCCCTTCACTTGCACCCCCGAGGGGGTAAGCAGAACTACTCATATATGTGACCAAGCATACCTCTCAGGCGGTTGCAGATCTCCGTTTTGTGTCCCGGCGTTATATAGAGGAAGGACGGACGAAGTTAGTTTGGGTCACTTACGTGATTGCATGTTGCCCTCTCCGTAGGATTTTTAAGTGTGGAAACGGGAAGGGGAAGGCGAGCAGAATTATCGAATATGACGACGCACGACGCGTCTAGTTTAACCCACCCTTCGAGATGGTTACCCCGGTGTGGTCTCTAGGTAACCTTCACCTATGGTGAGACATAGATGACAGTAGAACACTAGTCAATGATCGTGTGAAGCAAACATCGTTTTCACAAGACACACGGACAAAGTTGTACCTAGAGCAAGTTTTTTTTCGCCCACTAGTTCTTAATCCTATATCTTGTCTTACGTGAATAAACATGCTGACAACACTATCGGTTAGATGTTTCGTGCTAAGTGGGTTATAAAATGACACATCAACAAAAATTACAAAACTGATGGCTGCAGTATGTTTTTAATGGATTTCTTAAGATACACATAATTACATGCTTTATAAAATGCGCTGGCTGGTAGCCGCAGATTTACTGTCCAATATGCAATATGCAGTCGTGACATACTTTATTTCAGAAATGAAGCATGAGTCTATGATGACGGGGTGAACCACTTTTGAGAGTAAGCAGTCATAGCAATGCGTGAATTTCAACCACTACTTTCCCCGATTACTGTAACATCGAATACGTATTCAAAAGTACACTCCGACATTTGGTCTGAAGTCTGTATCATCAAATTAAAAACATCAATAGAGAGGGGTTTCGCAAATTTGGTGTACGGATGCGAAAGTCAACTTCTGATTACCACTGGAACTGCATTGTAGATTGTAAAGGCCGACAATGAATGGGCAAAAAATTGCACACATTCGTCTTTTCCGCCAGTACGGCAGGTAATCAACCTAGTGAAATATGCAAAGACTCATAAATATTTCCTAATAACTCGGATAATTTTATAGATTATCGGATTGAAAGAGGGGTAAGTGTGGGACAGACAGGAGAACTATGAGCATTATAATGCCATATATGCAGACGGCAAGGCCGGCAATAACATGGTGACTGCAATAAATGGATGGCGAATCACTGCTTATTATTGCATTTAGCCGGAGTAAGAGGGGAGAATCCGCTACGGGTCATCCGAGGTTTAACAATAATCGTTGATTTCCCTGCCGTTGTCAGGACAAGAATGTAGTGAGGACATCCACATGACTTAGTCCCCCATACCTCAGCCGGCATGCCAGTGGGCTACTGGTTCGCTAATTGAATGCATTTATTGCGTACCCAGAAGGAAGGACTTCGTTCGCTGGGGCAAGTGTGTCACTCATCCAGCGTTTTGCATTTAAATTTGAAACAGTCTTCGGGTGCAGCGATGGATACGGACTGTGAACTCGCAATTGCCGCAGTTCTCCTGGGATACAGCTGCAATGCCACCACACAGGGCACGAAAATAGCAACTCTCGTATTCATCGCAGATGGCCGTACCCGGTATAATGACGCGCTGGTCACCCACCTCAGAGTCGTTGTTTGCCTCATCAGTGCTCACGAATGGCGTGATAACCAAATGACAATCTGGTTCTCGGCTGCTTCTGCTGAAAGAAATACTCGTTCGCACACTTTTGACGTGACCAAGCTTCAGCATTTAATATGGGCGTATGTCAGAAGACCATATCACAAGCAACTCACGGTTCAGGTGTTGACCAGCCCTCTCGAGAATTCCGGCCGCGTCCGACTTGGATGCCTTGAAATCATCCATTACTAGAAGCAGATAAATTTTATTTGGTGAAAAATCACACTTAAGTGGGTGTTACAGCCCCGAGGGCAGTTTGTACTGGTCATTAAAATCAACAAACGAGCAGCAGTATCAGTATCAGTATCAGTTTATTAAGGGAAATATAGGCAAGCGCCTTTGAACTCCCTCTTGGTTACAAGTCGTCGGAGAAAAACATTGATAAATGGGAAGGTGAAAAAGGGATTTTGTACATACTCGCGGACAGCTGGCAGCTAGTCGAAAAAGAGTAATCATTAATGGTTACTTACTAATTACAAGTAGTATAAACACGTATAAGATTGTACCGGGTTATGTGAGTGGATGTGGGGATGGTAATTGGGAAGCTTGATGCAGGTCAAGTCTACACTTGAAGGAGTTCACACAGGAGGAGGTTACAACATCGGTAGGCAGGGCATTCCAGGCTGCAACCACTCTGTTACTGAAAAAGGACTTTCGTCCATTGGTTCTTGATTTCCCTGCGCGTAGTTTTAGGGGATGACCGCGCATACTGGGAGACTAATGATTCCGCGCCTGTTAAACCTACTGAAAGACCCATTTCATCCCTAAAGCAACACCCTGCTATGCACTGTACTCAAGTATCCCTAAGTCAATAGTTAATCAGTGAGGTTGATAACTCTCGCTTATGGCTATTTAAAGCAGTTCTGGCCCGCATTTAGGCAAGCCGCGCAGCATTATGGAGGGCCCATAGAAAGAGACAAATTTACGCCTGACTAAACTGATCCAAAATAATTTTACAGATTATCCGCCGGCCTCTGAAATACAACGTCGTCAGAGACGGGGCGCCTGTGCTCCCTCCAGAGTAGTCATTTATACATCTCCATGAAAGTGAAGCATCAGATTAATTCCAATCATTTTCCGCCTAATGATGGGGAAGAAAACATCGTTTGGGAATCCAAAACGACCTCCTGATCTGATTTCGTGTTATACAAACTGAAAAACAATCTCACGGGCTACAGATGTTCTTCCTTTCATTCTGCGTCTTGCATGTGTTATTTGTCTACCGGAGACACTGAACTCTTTCCTGTCATGGAATAGAATAGGACCTCTAACCTGAGAGACTGCTTACCAATCAGACCCAGACTTTAAGGAAGCAGCTTTTTCAGCTTTGACGTTCTTCTCTCGAGAAAAGCTGTAGCAGCACCAATGTAACCATGAATGGCATCTCTTTCTAACACGCAACCTTCGTTTGGACGCCGCCCTGTTTAAATGCCTGGTCACACATTAGCAAGATGACAGACTCTGAACTTTACAATCTTCTTTTCTTCCAAAATGACTGTGGAGAATGTGAAAAAGCCACTAAAATCGAAATATTGCTTAGATGATAGAAGGGAATAATTGGTGCTTCGGGTTTGATCAGCGGTCAGTTCAATAATGACAGCATACCTGACGTCGTCCTTGTGAACAAGCCTCTGCTCAATTATTCCCCAACTCAGGTATACTTAACAGATATTGTAGGGATTTACTGCAGGACATACCAATATAATAGCAATGCTCAGGATTCACACTCGACGGCTGATTAGACGACAGGACCGAACTTCCATTAAATTTACGGAAAATATGAAGAATCTACTAAAGACCAACTTTAACTCAGTTGACAAGAGGGAATAGATGATACTTCGGTTGTGGTCCGCGTTCAATACAATACTATCTGATCTAGTCTTTGTGAATTATCTTAACCATAATCGTTCCCTAACTCTGATATTCTCAAGATATATTGTAGGGATTTACGACAGGACATACCAATAAAAAAGCAATGCTCCAGATTCATGTTCGGACGACTGATTACAGGATTTGTGCTTGTGACGGCAAAACTCTTTATAGTGCATCTGTTCTTCAGTCCTGATGTTATAAATCGCAACATATGAGTAAACCGTTGGTATTGGCAGCTTTTGAGGTGGGTAAAGATTTGCCTAAATTTAAATCTAGTGGAAGCGACATCTGGAGCAGAGCATAAGTAAAATGCTCTTACAAGCTCAGCGATTCTAACCGTTGCAGGAGCGCCTCGGCGTTGAATCCCGAAATCGGCGAAAATATTGGTGTGCCCTTCACCTGTTCGTGGATTGTCCCGTCGAATATAAAGTACGTCCTGAGACAGAAATTCAGGAGCTGAAGGACTTGGGCGTGTCCAAGACGATCTGCCGTTACATCGTACTTGTTTTGTAGAAGCAGCTCGATTGTCTCGATCGCCAGGTCCTGGGGAATAGAATTGAAAAGGGATGTAGCATCAAAAGATACCATGACCTCAATCATACAGACCGGCAGACGCATGGCGAGACCCCATTATTGTTATCCACCGGAATCAACTACCGACATTCAAGGAAAGTCTGAATGCGGTCTTGCCGGACATACAATTTACGATGGAGGAGGAAGAGAACACCCAGCTGGCTTTCCTGGATGTCCATGAATTGTGGTGGACTACCGACCAAAGTGTTCAGGAAAGCGACAAATACGATGTAAATATTGAACGTCAACAGCAACAACCCAATCAGCCACAAACGCAGTTGTGTAAGGACGCTCTATCGGCGTGTCGAAACGTACTGCAGTGAGACGGAAGAAAAAATTGTCGAATTACAATACCTCCGACGGGTCTTCAAAGCCATTGGATGCCCGCGCAACTTCGTCAACCGGCGCATACGCAAAAGGGACGAAAGGTCTAACCGCAAGGACACCAAATTTTGGCAAGCGCTTCCATATGTCAAGAACGTTTTGAAAAATGTTGGCCGCCTTCTTGCACCACTTGGTGCTGGAGTTACACACAGACCGGAGGCAACCATCAGGCACCAGGTAATGAAACCGAAGGACACGCTGCTGCGGCAAGAAATGTCTGGAGTCGTTTATCAGATCTGGTACATTTTCGGACAAAGCACTTACGTCGGAGAAGCCGGAAGACAGATCCGAACGCGAATAGCCGAACACGCTGCCGACGTGCTGATAAATGAGACCAGCTCTCAAGTGGCGACTCAATCGACGAGGTCCGAACACACAGTCAAATTTGACGACGCCGAAATTCTTGCTAGAGGTGACAACCGCGTGAGCCGGAAGCTGCTTAAGTCATGGTTTACTGGCCCCAATTCCATTAACTAGTGAAATGGCCTACCTCTTCCATACTCGGTGCAGGGACTTCGCCTTGGCGGGGTAATCAGCCATGCGGGTAGCGCACAGGTGAGCAATTTTCCCAACGCCAGGGTCGATGGATCAGATGGTCTAGCCAGTATCACATTAACATCCAACACACATGATGAAATTACAGCAGTTAACGGCGCCAATGTCGGCCATCATATTGCCAGCACACAAAGGGCAACGATCCCTGATGGAGGGGGCAGCCGTGAATATTGATAGGTATGCGGTAGCATGACAACAGCATCCTATATATACTGCTGTCCCTTGTGCATGAACCACCCTATCTGCTTTTGTCTCTGACGATGTGTCTGAACAGGAATCCGGAACGTCAGACTAATAAAGCTCTTGTCCCAGCCATCGTGTCTTCTTCTTCAGGTCTGCTTTCCGGGACTCGTTTCTTCACTTCTATTCTGATGTTTATTTTTGGGGAGCCAGGTCGTGCATGTGGCGAGCGCGGACAAGGTCACATGATATGACAGCTACTGCGCCCATTCCACACACCTGTCAAATGACCGGCTCGGACAGGTACTGTGAGTTAGAGGGTGAGATCAAGGACTCGGCGTCTGCTTTACTACGAACTATCTGACGCGCTTGATACTAGCAGGGCGCTGAAAGCCGTGGCTTGAAAGGTTTCTGACTGGCGGAAAACCTTGACCCCGCAGCTTGCCCAATATGGGTTTGGCTATAGTGGCCAACTGGTTTTCTGAGAGCCGGGCCGGGTAAGATATGGTCCTGTAGCCCCACCTGGGGGACACAATACTGTTGGGACTGGGGTTAGGGGTCAGGGTTCGGAGTTGTGTTAAGGGGTTAGGGCAACTATTTCTCAAACAATCAAAGTACAACCGCGCATTCCCCATAGCTTTTTTCTGCATGCAAATACTTGACCTCGCCGCCTATACGTTCTGCGGCTCCACCAGTAAAAACCCTATTATCACCGGTCGCATATTACGGGTGGCTGGAGATTGCTTACACTCGGTGGGGCTACCTAATCACGTCTGGCCTCGGTGCCGCAATGGCCCTTACTTACAGTGACTTTTATGACACTCCCACTCAGTTGGATCCGAGTCAGTTGTGACAGCACGCCTAATGCCGCCTCCGGGTGCGCCAGCCACCCGCACCATTTTCAGCCTCTGGTCTTATTGACTCTGTTTTGCACAAATTGCGCAGGGTAGGAGTTCAAGGTAGCCTCCTTGTCAAAAGATATAATTAGTAAACTGTATACCACTGTAACCAGAGGACATGCAGAAGGATAATGTTGTTTGGACTACCCTTCAATCCAAAACCAACAGTGAACCGCATGAAGACGACAAATTCAGTCATGCTTACAGTGCAACACATCAGGCGCACAATTACGGTGTTCGACTAAGATAGCTCCTCAAAATATCCGGAACTTGCATGCGGGAAAATCTGAAGTATGCCAAACACATATGAAGACCATGGACCATCAAAAAGTTGTATCGTTTCACAGAAGGTCCAGGTGTGGGCGACGAAAATGTTCAAAGTTCTGTGGTCATTGCTTAATGAAGACAAAAGGCCGACCCTCAAACCCGTACCCGTAAGAGTTTATAAGCAACCGAGTAATTTAAGTGTCGATTGATCTGTGCGATGATGATGCTCGCTCTTCGAACGTGCATTCGTCTAAGGGGGAACTCCCCACGCATCCGATTTCAGTCAAGCCACAGCTGAATGATCCAAGAGCGAGTTATTGATGCTGCATACAATCATGCTACTTTCAGGAACTAAGTAGTAATTGATGCTTATATTTCATACATCACGCAGAGAGTCATTTGTTTGCCCCACTTAATCATGAGAACAATCTATGTGTTCATGTTTTTTAAGTGTTTGGCGTTCAGAATGTCTTGGGCGGTCCTATGGTTCCGGGCTGCCGCATGTGCTCAAACATCGTCGTCAAGGGTTGCAGGCGGGCCGGCGTCATCCGACTAGGTCGAACGAACACAAGAGGGCCTGAGGTGCGGTTTTGGTGCCCGACGTCGAGTTGGTCCTCACCGCTACGTAGATGGGGTAGTGATGTTGGAGTATTGGGAGAACTCCCGATAAGGACAAGCCAGATTTCATTTCAGAACAGGTAAGGTACAGGAGCTTGCGAAGGAAGTCAAACCATCAGCGGATAGATGAGTTTTGCGATCGAGCGGTCGAATATCCCAGTAGTAGACAAGGACATCAAGATCAAAAGGCACACCGGAATGACCATTTCCGAATTATAGGGACTTGCCAATAGACCAAATTTGCAGGACTTGTGATTCGAGCCCAATTGCATTAAATGTCGAGCGACACTGATGTCAACGGCCTAGGCCAGATTCGCGAATCGGCCTTATTGTTAGTTTTGATCATGGCACACCTCGCGACATATGACATGACCTGCATTTTTGTCTCAGAATTCGGCATAGGACTTGATCCTAGGAGACCCACTAAACCTGATCTACGTATAGGAAGCACGATCATAACTTAGTGGGTATTTCCAGTCCGAACCGACAAGACGATAAATATGTAAATCCAAGGCTCCCATGCTCACTACGAAGTCAAAGATGTTGGCCCTGGTCAGTCTACGAGGACGCGTATAACGAGCACTATGCGTACTACTAACTTGAAGTTACTGCTTTCAAAAATAACTTTTCCCTTGATGGATTGGAGCTTGACAAGAAGTTTAGGGATAATGAAAATCTTGTCGAGTTGAACGAAGAGGCCTCTTAGATCAATAGTAATGTCATAACGTCATATAGAATATTTGAAACGGGGTTGAACTGAAGAATATATTTAAAAAGCTCGACTAATATTCGCATTTTAATTAGCAAACATTGGTATAATCCCGTAGGAGATACATGAAAAAGTCTATTCACTGCCGAATTCTGTATAACAACGTCGGCGGAGAATAAGAATAGGTCCTTTCGATCCCAGGATGAAATTCGGAGGGCATATGCCGGCGATGGAATCTCCTGTGAGCCTGAAAAAAGCGAAAACAAAGCGAGGCCAACATGTAAATGAACACTAATACGCCATCGCTTTCCTAAAAAAATTTGTTGCTATCACATTCATTGCACATGATTGCACACGACGCGATCATTGTTTGCAGGCTCGTATCGGAGTTGTAAACAACCACAATTCTATCGCTCGTGTGGCCTCGCTTTTCGGTTAAATCATCGACACTAGCATTGGAACCAGTGATAGTTCGCGTTTTCCGTGTGGCTGAGCACATACCAGACAGAAGGACCGATCGCAACTGCAAAAGTTGTTTCCACAAAAGTGGATTAACGCTTATTTCGGCCAACCGTAGAAGATGCTAGATGCATGCTTGAGAAGTTAGTCCGTCAATCAGGGCTAGTGCTGTCGGCTGTAAGATTACTTCCCATATCTGGTACACTTGTGGACAATGCACTTTTGTCGGAAAAACGGGGAGATTACTCTTAGCACGTAAACTCGAACATCCGGCAAACGTTGCGAAGGATGACATCAAATCACGCATCGCAGCTGAAGAGGCGACCACCGAGTGAGCTGCCAGTTGCTCGAGTCACTGTTTAACGACCACAGTCGATTAAAATGTGCAGTGACCTGTCCCTGCCCACATGTCTTTGCCTGGATAAACTAACTGACTACGGTAGGAATGGGGTGACGAACCCCGCTGGCAATCTCAATATTACAGATTAGAATTTGGGAGTAATTATCAGGTCAAAAATCATCAGCAGAAGTATAACTACGTCACTTAACGACTTAGATGCGGAAGAACAAAAAATCTTTGCACAAAATGCAACCCCGGAGATGAATATGACAGCTACTGATGATAATAGTCATGCAATAGCAAGACAGCGGCATCCTATAAATACTACATCATCTGTGCATACATCATCCCTATCTTCAATTGTTTCAAACGATAAATCCAAGAGCGGATGCAAAATGCCATATGAATATGTTTCTTGTTCCTGTGGTCACATCAGTTTTTTAATCAGTTTGCAGTTCGGTCACGCGTTTTTAAAATTTTGCCTTTATTTCATAAAGTAGAATATGCATAACATTATCAGATAAATGCATTTAGCACATTCATTCCTGGAAATCGGTTTGCGAAAGGACTTGTGACACGCTATGACTACGTCTATCTGTTTCAGGGCGATTGAAATTTCGCACTGCTTTATTTG